CTATAGATTATGTAAAAATAAAGAAATTATGCGTGCGCTCTTCTTAATAATAAGAACATAATAATAAATAATAATGCAATCATACTTGTAATTAATTATTATAACAAATGCTAACAACAATTAATAATAATAATATTATTATTATATGAGTAGAAGAATCAGATCGAGATTAAGTTCAATAGGAAGCACGGAAGACAAGAACATTACCAAAGTAAGCAATATTAATTCACCACACTTGCATGTGGAATTTGAAGTTGGTAGAGCATTACAACTAAGGCCTGACATTATTGTTAGAGGTGGGTATTAAATAACATATATAATAAATCATATTTATATTACATTGATTCTGATCAATCATAATTTTCAGGTGCAGTCATATTGTCAATCCCAAAAGATTGCCCACAATTACTTGCATCTGCTATCAAAATTTTTTTTAAAGGTAAAAATAATAGTAAATAAACTGGATTTTTGGATTATTTAGTTTAATCAATCCAAATAATAATAACAATCATATTATTATTTATTATTTGTTAATCTGAAGGCGAAGAAACAGCTTCGGCTAAAGTTAAAGATAGCGGTGTATTTAAAAAAAGGCGTTTGGATAGTGTACGGACAACTTACTTTGAATGTAGTTATGTAGTTTGGTGTGCTTTGACTAATAACAATCTTAACAACAACAACATCAACGACAATAGAGGTAAATATAGATGATTAACTAATAATTTTATAATTATCCATAGATCAAGTAATTTATAATAAAAAATCTTTTTAATTTGTAATAAATAATAATAGCTAACAGACATTTACCTTTGATGAGAATAAAACCGGGGATATATAGATCTGAATTTGCTTTAAAGGTTTTTATTATATTATAATAATTATAATACATGCTTATTTGATCATAAATTGTTATATAGTGTAATAACTTTATTTTTAGTTACCTCCTGTTAATTTTCCTCCATCAATAGAGGTAATTATTTGTTATTTATCATACATGTATACACACACACACACACACACACACACACACATATATATTATTATTTACAAAATACTTGTACTCTCACTCATATATAAAGGGTCCAAGGGGATTTTCAATAAGATATATCTGGAAACCTGTTATAGAAGGGGTGGATGGAAATATTATCGAGGGTCCTGAGATAGTGACACCTTTTACTCCTATATCATTTGCCCCACCCAATCAAGAATGGTGTTTTAGAGAAATTTTATACACTGAACATAAATCACAAAGAAAAATTATTATAGAGGCTGAAGCTTTTTTACAAAAGCGTGTTTTTTCGCCCGGTAAAAATCTTTAATGATTTTTTAAGCTATTCTAATAAATTATTCTAATCGTTGCTTCCGTGGTTTAGGTGAGGAATTAGATCTTAAGATTAGACTTAAAAACCATTCAGGTGGACGTATAACGTGTGTTCAATGTTCTTTACGAAAACGTTTTGAG